TGGGCAGAGTTTAGCAGTGCAAAGCAGCTGCTCTGTCAGCAGCTCCCCTTCACCCACCACTGGGGCTCTCCATCCCCCCACTGGCCAGAGAAGCAGCTGCAGAACAAGAGCAGTTTTCCAGCCCTGCTGATGGTCCTGCCAGCTCTGGGGTGCCTGGAGAGGATGTCCCTCAGGTGGAGGTGGCATTTTGCAGGTCTAGCCCCACAAAGTGTCAGAGCACCTGCTCCTGCCACTTCCCCGATCACTGTTATGGGCAAGGACAAGTGACAGAGTGGGCAGAGCATTTCTGAAGCTCTGGGACCACCCAGCCCTTAATGAGGATCAGGCAGTGCCAGGGCTGGTGGGAAAAACACTGGTGTGTCCCACAGCAGGGTGAGGAGCCCAGCTCAGCAGCACCCATCCCTGCAGGCACCATCACATCCAGCTGGCTCACTCCCTTTTTGCTCCAGCCTCTGGAAAGCAAACACCACACTCCAGGATGTCCCTTGCTGCCCAGGTGAGCTGGATGGCATCCTTGGGAGCAGTGGCAGGCAAAGCTGCCCCTCACCTGGCAGCCCTTCACACAAGTGAGCGCTTCAGGAGGCAAAGAGTCCTTGTGGCCTCTGCTCCAGCAGTGTCCTGGCTCTGGCACAGCTCCCAGGGCTTTACCCAGCCCACAGAGAGCTGGGCAGCAGCCCAACCTCCTGGAGCCGTGTAGGGGACACAAGGCAGACCCCAAGGCCACTGTGCCCCACACCACATGCCAGCACTGCCATTCAGGGTGGGCATGACACGTGCCCAGGCTCCCTGGGAGGTGACACACGTCCTGTCTCACTTCCCAGTTTCCAGCCACTGCAAGGGATGATGCATTTGTCCCTGGCACAGGCTGCTCTGGGTGAGAGCTGGGCACATCTGAGCAGGCAGGGATCTGGGTGGGGAGCCCTGCGTTCCCTGGCAATGCTGCTGCCAAGGCTGGGAGGGGGTAGCACATCACCACATCCCTCCCCAGTGCACCGTGGGACACTGGAGCTCCTGCCCCAGCCTCTGGCACTGCAGACACAGCCTGAATAGCTGCCAATTACGGCCAGACTTAATTAGACACCCTCTCCCCTCCGGCACAGAGAGGGCAGGCAGGGGTATTAGAGGGAGAAATTATGACTTTTAAAATGTAAAGATGGCTCCTGATGAGAGCTGGGTGGTTTGTGCTGCCTGGTGTGTCCAGAGGCACCGGGAGTCCCCAGGGAGGCACAGATTGGGGTGTGGAGCACAAGGAAAACACGCCAGGAGCTTGGCAGAAGAGACACATGAAGCCTTTGTGCTATCCAAGTGACAGCCTCACAGGCTGCCCTGCTCAGGCAGGGGTTTTGTGTGCCCTCTCCCCACTGTCGCCCACTTGCCCCTGCTCTGTTTGAAGCCCTCAGCTGCAATTAACCCTTGGCAAACCAGCCAGGCACTGCCCACTCACCCTCCCCATCTTCAGAACATTTTGGCCAGGATGGCATCTCGGCAGTGGCTCTGGTCCAACACAGAAAACCCTTCCCGGTCCCTGCCACCTGTCACTTCCAGGACAGAATGGCTCATTAGAGACTTGAAGTTTCTGACCGTTTCTCACAAGAACCACGCTCCACAGCCCCAGCGTCGCTGCCGTTCCCACCCAGCAGCTTTTCATTAGGGGATTGCTTTGACAGCACTGCCTCATCCATTAACGAGCTGGGGATGGGGATGAGAACAGACAACGACAGACTAATTAAGTTTTTTTTTTTCAGTGATGGGAGCCAGCAGAGACAAGGGGAACCACTACCAGCAGTTAAGGGAAACAAGGACTCCTGGACTCCTTTCCCTGCTCTGCCACTGGTTCGTTTTGTGGCCCTGAGCGCGATGCTGCAATGAACTGGTCACGGCAGAGACGGGCAGGGAGGCTTCAATCTTAGCGATTTTAGCAGCCTTGCGGGAGATGGAAGCAGGAGGGAGGCTGAGGCACGCAGCTGCCCCTGCGGATCCCAGTTTGCACAGCAGGGAGCAGGGAAGGAGGAGGCAGAGGGATGCACGGCTCCAGCCCGTCATTAACACAGCCAGGCTGTCCCTGGGAGGGTTCATCCATCAGCATTTTGGTCGAGTGGTTAATGGCTGCGGGCAATGCGAGCCAGCCTGGCACAGTGCGTGCTAAGCAAACAGGAGGGGAAGAAAATAAAGAAAGAAAATAAATAGGGAAAGAAAGCTCTCCGAGTGCCAAGCACAGCCCTCTGCCTGCTGATGTACTGAGAAGCCTTGAGCCTGCAGGAGCCAGCAGCCGGACAGGGTCTGGGAGCCTCTGGAGCCTCGTGTGCTGAGTCACATCAGGGGACCGCAGCCCTCGACCGAGCCAAGACAGGCTGGAAAGGGAACGATTCCATCAGCAGCAGCCTGCAAAGCACTCACTGCTCGGCCCAGGGCCCGTCCATCCCTGCCTGCAGTATCTGCTGGGCTTGGGTCTGAGTGATGCTGGAGGAGGGGAAGCACAAAGCAACTTTGAGGATATTCGTGGGGAGCAAAAGCGGGGAGATTCTGCAGAGCTGTGGATGGTCTCTCCCATTCTGCCCACAGGAGCAACCCTTGGATCGGCAGGCTGGGCACTGCCACACGTGCGTGGTGCCTGCTGGAAGTGCACGTAGTCCCTCGCAGTCCCTCGGCCGTGCCACCCAACCCCAGGCCGGCCAGCCGGGCGCTGGCAGCCGCGGGATCATGCGCGGGCCACAGCTCCCAAACACTTACTCAGCAGCGAGAAGCATCGCTCCCCTCCCACTGCTCCCCACCAGCCCCAGATCACACATGCCTGGTGCTGTCCTTCCCAAAGGGATGCTGCTCGGGCCCAGGGTGACTTGTTCTGCCTTGCTCACACGGTGAGGGAACAATTGCCCAGGAGGACCCTATGCAGCTCCAGTGCTCCCTTTGCCGTAAGAACGGCTGAGGGTGGTGAGGAACCCAAATCACACAGAGCCCAGCCAGGCCTCTGGAGGACACAGAACTCCCCGTTCCTTGAGTGAGAATTCATTCCAGGCACACAAAACCCTGTTACTGCACCTGGGCCGAGTGGGGATAGAGGAGCTGAGCGCTTCTCTGAAGGCAACAAGCATTGCAGCAGTGCCTGCTCAAAGAAATCTGGGCTGAAGAGCAGCCAGAGGAGAGGAAAACATTCCCAAGATGTGAGCTAGCAGCAGAGGAACCCCTGGGCTCTGGCAGCCCTGGCTGTCTGTCCTGATGGGTGCTGCACCTGACCAGAGAACAGCTCCAGCCAAGTGGCCAACTTTGGTGCTGAGCTGGCTCAGCCAGGACCCAGCTGGCTAATGGAGGCCTGGGAGCTCTCCAGAGCTCCTGGTACTCACAGGCACCGAAAAATCACACAACAGAGAGACAGATGTGGTGTCCAGGACGCTGGGACAAGGGATGGGACTGCTCAGGAGCTGTCTCCATGGGCAAGAGGCACTGGGAAGGGGAAAGGGAGAGCTCCGAGGCTCAGAAACCACCAAGGGAAATGCTGAAGAGCACAGGGAGGCAGAGCCACATCCCAGCCACGAGAGCTGCTCACCCCTGGGTGTTGCAGAGCATCACAGCGCAGAGCAGGGTGTGCAAGCCCCCGGGACCTGCCCAAGGCTGGCCGGTGAGTCAGTGGAGATGCCTTCCAAGGCAGGGGCTGTCTACGCACTGCCCAGCAGCCTGGAGACAGTTGCTGAGGATTACAAATACCGCTAATAATAGCCAGGAGGTGACTGGGCCCCAGCCCTGCCCATCCCGGCCCAAACACGGTGCTGGAACACAGCGATGCTCCCGCATGGGAGAAAGCCACCAAGGCAGGGAGTTCTGGTGCCTCAGGTTGTCACCGAGTCCCATCCAAGCTGAGCAAGAGCAGAACAAGCTTTTCCCATGGACACGGGGTCGCCCTTTTATTTTTATACAAGATCCGGTGGAGGAGGAGGATTTACCGGGCATTTATAGGCAACACTGCCGCCCCCAGCCCCCCTAGTTCAGCCAGGGGTCAGAACTTGGGGCCAGCATCCAGCTGGGGCTGGGAATGAGTGGGGCGGTCCCTTCCCTGGGGCAGGCAGGGACAGCACAAGGAACCCGCTCTGGCACGGGGACAGTTTCTGTAAGCCACAGAAAAGGGATGCGGACGGGAAGAATAAACACATGCACATACCCCGGCACCTGGACAAGCTCTTGGGGAAAGGAAAAGACTCCCAGGGGTTAGATGTGCACACAGGAGAGGCTCACACATTTCTTGATTATTTTTAGGATCATTCCTTGGGGGACGGAGCCAGAAACACCCTCCCAAACCGCTGCCTCCCGCGGGGACAACGGGCTTGCTCCCACCGGAAGACGAAACACAGGTTTTGCCGGCACCTCTCTTATTTTAGGGGAAAATCCCGAGCGCAGCTCTCTCCCCGCCACCCGCGCGGACGGAGGGATAAAGAAGGGACACCGCGGGGAGGCTGGGGGGACCCCGGCGGTCCTCGGGGAGCCGGCCTTACCTTGCTCTCCGCATCCTCGCGGTGCCCGGACGGCCGGAGCTCCTCGGGCGGCTGCCGCGGCTCCTGGGGCGGCTGCCGGGGCTCCTCGGGCGGCTGCCGGGGCTCCTCGGGCGGCTGCCGGGGCTCCTCGGGCGGCTGCCGGGGGATGCTCTCGGCCGCCGGGGGGCTGGGCTCGGCCGCGGGGCCCGGCTCCGCCGCCGCGTCCCGCTGCTCGGTGACCGCCTCCTTCCCCTCGTCACCCACCCCGACCTCCTCCACCGGCACCCGGCTCCCCTCGTCCTCCGGCCCCGCGGCCGCCGCTTGGCCCTCGGGGCCGCCCTCCCGAGCCGGCTCCGCCGCGGGCTCCCGGGGCCGCTCGCCGCCGCCTCCTCCTCGCAGCCTCAGGAAGACGGAGGCGAGGACGAGGGCCAGCACGGTGAAGAGCAGCGGGACGGCCAGGTACAAGTCCACGGGCAGGTCCATGCTGCCCTGCCGCCGGAGCCCGCCCGAGCCGAGTGCGCGGCCGCGGGGGTGCGCGGGCAGCGCTCGGCCGGCGGCGGGGCTGGGCCGGCTCTCGGCTGGCTTTACCCGGCGTCATCCGCCGGCCCTGCCCACCCACGGCCCCCCCGGCACCCACCTCCCGCTCCGAGCCGCCAGCCAGGGCCAGGCCCCGCTCCCCGCCCGCACCCACCCGCACCCAAGGGTGGCGTTTGGGAAGGGGCGCCCGGGAGAGGAGAGCTTGGGCTCTGCCTGATGCCAGAGTCCAGCTTGGGACAAGGGATCTTTCATTAGACACTGCCTTATAACCACAAAGTCATTCCCAAGCTGCTCGGCAGTGGCTTGCATCGTCAAATCCTAGAATCATTTACATTGGAAAAGACTTCTAAGATCATAACCCCTTTCAATGAAGAAATTGCTCCTAATACCCAATCTAAATCTCCCCTGGCACAGCTTGAGCACATTTCCTCTTGTCCCGTCACTCGTTAACGGATCCCATTCTGACGATGGGAAAGTGTCTCCCGGGATGATCCCCAGGGTTTGATGAGTTCCGACACATTGGGGTGTCGGCTGGACTCTGGGCAGTGTTTAATGAGCATTTGCACCTTGTTAGCCCTTGGCTGGGTAGCGGAGGGGCTGGCAGGGCCAGGAAGGCTGTCCTGACTCCCCTGGGTGAGCGGCATCTGGCAGCACATCCATGCCAAGCTCCAGAGCATCACTCCACCTTCCCCAGGAGCTGCAGGGAAAAACTGCTGTTATACCCCTGTTATACGCACAGGGAAAGTTGGTGACAAGAGCAGCTGGGCTGCCACAGCCTCCCCCGGAGCATTTTGCTGCTGGGAGGTCTGAAAAACAAGAGACTCAAAAACCAGGATGTGCCCAAAAGCTATCGCAAACTGGCAAGCAGAGCGGCCAAGGAGTTGTCAGGTCCCTCCAGACTCTGCCACTGAGGATTTCCTGCCTCTCGAGAATGCTGGGAAGACTAGCCAACATTTTACAAAGCACACTGAAATTAGAAAGCCTAAATTATTCCTGCCAGGGTGAAACCAGCCCAGAGCGGGGTGCATGTGAGGGGAGCAGCCATGGGAATTTACCCCACAAAGTTTCTTCCAGGGAGAAGGCTCTGGAGATGCCACCAGGAGCGCAGTTTTTTTATTGACTGACCAAAGACAAAACTCAAACAAAGATGGGATTAAATCCCCGGGTGGGAGGAAGGAAGTGAAGCCATGATCCTCACTGTGTTTGTCTTTATTGGTAATCCTATCAGGCAGGCAATCGCTAGCGTATGGATAATTGTATTCTTAGCAACAACCAACCACGGTACTTATCTCCCCTTCTCCCGCAGAGCTTTGCATTTCCTGGGTCCCATTTCAGAGCTGCTCTAGAGCTCAGCCAAATCACCCGGAGACTGGCAGCGTCACAGCAGCTTTTTCGATGTTATTTGGTCCCTTCTGCCCCCTAATTGCCCTAATCCCAGCAGCCATGAAGGCATCATCCCGAGTCCAGAGCATCACTTGCCTTTGGAAGCTTCCTCTGAGCCCTGGCAATTGCTCATGGCCAGAGACAGAACCAGGGTGGGGAAGTTGCAGGGTCTGGGTGCTTGCTCCTGTGCTCATGTGGACTGTCACTTTTGGGCACAAAGAGGAACTCTAGGTGAGACTGAGAGAAACTGGCCATGGGAGCTGCTAATAGGGTGACATGGGGTGTTCTGGTGTTACACACACTTCCAGCTGTCACAGCGCCTTTGATTACTGCCAACACCCAGGGCACCTCCTGCTCTTTCTCCCTGGCAGTATAAATTTTCCATGGCTCTTGGTTGGAAGTGTGTTGGAGGGTGTTTGCCCGCTCAGGAATGCAGCAGCATGTGGCTTGCATTAACCCAGCAAGGAGACAGAGCACTTCAGCTAGCACCCTCCCGAGCAGGATTTATCACTGCCTTAAAATAAGAAAAGCTATTCCTGACAGCTTCTCCTGAGGTTGGAATTCCTGGCAAGGGAATCAACAGGAGCTTCAGAAGCAGCAGCTCCTGGCTCTGGACCTGCAGTGATTCCCTCTCAGGTTGCTGGAACCTGTGGCACTCACAGGAGTTGTGAGAGCTGCAGTGTTTGGATGTCTGTGAAAAACAACACTCCTGGTCTTGAGAGCGACAACCCGGAGCAGCAAGGACACATCTGCCAGAAAAGCCACTCTACCTGAGCCAAACTCATGCAGTAACGAGGTGACAGGATCAGCAACAGAGCTCAGCTCCCCATGTCCATGTCCCCATGTGGGGTGAGAGCTGCTGCAGAATGTAATCTGCTGGCAGTGATACCCCAAGCAGAATTTGAGCCCAGCAGGTCCCATGTGATGCCAGCTTGTCCCCTGCATGGCTCTCCAGAGGGAACTGATGGAGTAAACTCAGCCTGGTCCCTGGCCAGAGCTCTGGCTGGGAGGTACAGAGGTATTGCTGGGGTTACCTTATCAATTTACAAGGCACGACTGATGCCTCCAGCTTCATCATGCACACTGCAGGACGGGAGGGGATGGATTCACACACCGGCTCAGCCAGGCAGGCTCCCAGCCAGGGATCTCCACCCTGGGCCTGCTCGCCAGCCCCGGCAGCGACGAGCTCGGAGTCTGCTGGCACGGGGGGCTGGAGGAAGGGCTCGCCTGGGCACGGCACCCCGGCCCCAGCCCCAGCCCCGGCCCAGGCTCGGGCTGAGCCCGGAGCGGGGCAGCAGCAGCAGCAGCAGCTGGAGCGCGCTGCCCTCTCTCGGGAGAAGAACAGCCCTGCAGAGCAGCGAGAGCAGGGCATGGATGGGGACAAGCCCCGAGAGCCCCGGCAGAGCACGGGATGGATGGGGACAGCCCCTGAGAGCCCCGGCAGAGCACGGGATGGATGGGGACAGCCCCCGAGAGCCCCGGCAGAGCAGGGGCTGAATGGGGACAGCCCCCGAGAGCCCCGGCAGAGCAGGGGCTGGCTGGGTACGGTCCCCAGAGCCCCGGCAGAGCAGGGGCTGGCTGGGTACGGACCCCAGAGCCCCGGCCCCGCACAGAAGCCGCTTTCACACGGCTGCCAGCTCCGGGCCGCAGCCAAGGGCGGCAGCAGCTGAAGAGCTTTGCCAACAAAGCGGGATTCAGGAGAGCCGCGGTGACAACTGCTCCGGGAACAGCCCCGGCACGGAAAACGCTGCGCAGCAGATCTGCCTGCGGGAGGGACTGAGCCAGGCTGGCCCCTGTGCCCGGGACACTGCGGGTGGCAGCGCTCCCGGGATGCAGGAATGGGGTGGGACCGTCGGGAGAGCCTTCTCCAGGCACAGAAAGGATCTGATCTAACACACCACACGCTGTCCGTGTCCGGCAGCCTGTGAGCTGTACAGGCAGGTGCTGTTCCCAGGTCCTCTGCTTCCCTCCCACACAAAGCAAGGAGGTCACTGAGTTCCAACACCCACCTCTGCATCCCAGCCATGACCCAAGTGAGGCTCCACAAGCCCCTGTGCAGTGAGGTGTGCAGATAATTGCTGGTATCCAAGGGGAAAAGACAGGATATTTTGTTCCCAGCTCCTCCCAGAACTCATTTAACCTCACATAAAATTTGAGCACAGACCAGTCTTATAACTGCTCCAAACTTGGATTATTTCTGCAAGCCCCACTCACGCTCGGAGTCATGGATACACTTTTTGCTTGCCAAGAACACAGCCCTCTCTGTCTTGATGCCAGAAATAAGAAGCTATCCCAAGAAACTGCCCTGTTTCTTCAGGCTTGGAGTCACTCCCCTACCTGGCTGGCTTCTCATTTGTCTTCTGACATCTGGCTGTGTGCTTGCTCAGGGATATTTGGGTTCAATCCACAAACGGCAGAGCTCAACCCAGGGTTGGGGATTGCTGTACCTTGCTTCCACCGAAAGAAATGATCCAACCCAAGAGCTCTCCTGGAAGTATTTATTTCTAGATCTTTTCCCTAAGCTCCTGTCAGTACCCCCTCTGCTTGTGAGGCCTCTGCTCTCACCCATACAGCTCTTCCAACAACTTAATTCATTTTACAATCTAATCCCTGACCCAGGACAGGCTCTGAGTTGCTGCTGAGCGCTTCAAAGTCTTAAACCAGTACAACTCCCCTTGCCCTTGACAGCACACTGATACAAGCTGATATTCCAGAAGCACCTGGATACTGGCAGCCATTCCAGCCCCAGCTGCAGTGGAGCAGCTGAGCAATGACACAGCCTTGGGTCTAAACGAGGCAGTGCTGCAGCAGAAAAGCCTGGCCCACCTCTCCCTGTCAGCACAGCTGGGACAGAGAGGACAGCTTCAGCTGCCCTGCCCCTCCTGCTGCTCCAGGCAGGATTTGTCCCCATGGCAGCCCCAGTTCCAGGCTCTCTGATGAAAGACAGGACGTACTCGGTCACAGGCATCACACACAGGTGGAAGCACCAGGTCTCAGACCAGAAGGCACACGGAATGATTATTGCCCTCTGAACACACTCCTGACCAGCTCTACCTGCCTCAATCCACACTTCTCCAGAACCAGAGGAGGTGAAGCCCCACAGAGGAGTTTTTATGTGCCTTGAAGGAAAAAAATGTGCTGCAAGCCTGTTCATTCAACTCCAAACCAGTCTTAAGCTGCTCAGTGTCATGCCTGGCACTGCAGGAGGGACTGGAGACAGGAGATATGGAGCCTTGCTCCATGACTTGCTTTCCAACTGCCACAAAAGAAAAAGCAGGAGTTATTTGTTTCTGCATCAGACTGGAAGAAAGGAGCAGGAACATTGGCAAAGGTGCAGCACAGGCTCCCCAGCAGTAATTAAAGAATCAGTGTGTCATCCTCCTTGTTGAAATGAAATTGCAACCCTCACAAAAAGGAAGATGTGTAGATAAATCAAGAGGAATAAAAATAAATCAAGTCCTGATTGCAAGGCCACAGAGGGACTGCAGGAGGTACCAGCAATACCTGCAAATGAGGAAGAATGGTGAGGTTGTCTTGAAGCAGCTAAATTGCCTCTCCAGACTGAAAAGCAAGAGAGATCAGTTATAAAAGCATTTCTACAGTGGCTGTACACAGTTTTCAGCCACCATTAACTCACAGCATTTTCTGGGATTGGGGCTTGTTAAATGCCAGGCATGGACACACCCTGATCATCCA